AAACTAAGCTAATGAAAATTATCAAAAGTCCCCTTCAAAAAGGAAATACAATTCTATTTATAAGAAAAGAAGAAATTGGCAGCTCCCGCGCCCTCTCTCAATAGACCCGCGCCCGCAGAAAAATGGGTACGGAACCCTCCGCGGGCTATCTGGGCAGACCTCGCGCCCGCGGCAACAGAGATCCTCGCCCGCGGCAGTGAAACCCGCGCCCGCGGCTAATCCCCTGCTCCCAAAGCCTGATCAGGGGGCCGTGGTCTCTCTGAATGGAGCGGCCTCTCCATTTTACCCGCGCCCGCGGAGAGCCCGCGGGGCAACCGCGACAAGTTCCTTCCAAGTTTTGGCAATTTTGAGTAACATGGGCCCGCGCCCGCAGCAAGATGACCCGCGCCCGCGGCCTGCTGGATTTGCCTTGGAAACCTCTCTGAGGCCTCTCCAAGCCCTCTCTAGCCAAATGCTTCTTCCTTGCTTGATCATTAAAGTCCCAAATTGAATCCTTTGCCAAAGTGATTCTCACAATACCTACACAAGTACAGAAAGAAAGGAAATAAAAGGGAAAAAGAGACAAATAAAGGAAAACACGATAAAAACACGAGAATCATAAAGAAAAGAGGAAAAAGAGAAACTAAAGGAAAATGGACCAAAAATAAGAGAAGAAAGCATGAAAAGGGGAAAGAAATAACCCTAAAAGACTACCCTATGAGTGCTATAAATGACACTCATCACTTGCGGAAGACTATCGCAGCGGAAATTGGAGGCAGCCACAAGTAGAGCGGTCTTCGAGCGGCATTCCCTATCTTGTGGAAGGTCGTCACAACAGAAATACAATAAATCGGTTACTCTAGAGACGTGTGCTCGACGGTGCAAGATACGCGTTTCTTAACTCTTTTATCTGTTTTAACTAACGCTAGTTTGCAGGTATCGACGTTACAAGAATGATTTAGGATCGCAGAACGTTCTGAATCATTCTCTGTCCCTATTGATACTTTGACTTTTGTTTTCGAAACATGCGTTTCTCCAAACTCAGTCAAAGTGGGGACTTCTGTAGACACCCATTTGTGTATCCCCAAAACCAAACCAAGTGATGAATATCTTTCGCGTCGAACCATAATCGAATGAAGTGAAAGTGTGAAAAAGACTAGTGATGCGGTTAGTTTTTATTAAAAATCTTTCTTTTTTTTTCGTAAACCAACTCTATTTAATGAAAATAGCCAATCCAGTTTAGTTTGGTCCATGATAAGGGTCCAATAATAGCGTAGTTGCATAGGGCTCGAAAAGAGCTTTCCAACGATATATTATACCCAATTCCGATGAATAATGAGGAAGTTATGGCCAAAATACTAAACTAGGCCCGGTTTGATCCTTACATACAGCATAATGATTTAGGGGAGGGCCTATCATTTTTCCTAAAGCTAGTAGGATTGATTATAGTCTTCTAGAATCATCTAGAAAGGTTCTTTTCATATTCTAGTAGGATTAGGATTGATAATTATGTATACGAGTTTCACTTGGAATGAAATGATGTTTTATATGAAAATACGATTTTAGCCTTCATACGGACTTTATGAATCAATTTTATTGATAAAGGGACTCCGTACGGAAAGCGCATTGAAAACCACTTTGTCGCAAAACTACAACCTTTGTCACCTTGCAACAATCTGATGAGTGCCATTTATGGCACTCATTTGGCTTCTTTTAGGATGAATTTCATGCTATTTTATAGATCTTTTCTTTAGTTTTCCTTAGTTTTGTTCTTTATTTCTCTAGTTTGTTTATTCCTTAGTTAGTTTTCTTTATTTGTGTTTTCTTTGTTTATTTGGTCTTTTTCCCTTTTATTTGCTTGTTTTCGTGTATTTTTAGTTTATGATCGTGTTCCGAGGATTCCCGAGCCTTTCTCTCATATTTCTCATCATTTTGGATGCCTCTTTCTTGTCATTTGGAGCTCAAGTTTGAAGGAATGCAAGGAGCAAGTTTATGAGATCGGTGCATGCATGCGGTGGGGGCATCATCTTTGGTATGAACCCACCTAAAGATCCATTTCAAGACTGCCTACCTTAGTGTTCATCATCATCACCAAGAGGAGCGCACGAGGATGAGCTAGAACGAAGAAGAGGATAGCTCCCCTCTGCCAGGTGCGGGCGCGCACGAGGGTGGTGCGGCGGCGCACCTGGGTGGCGCGGGCGCGCCATGTGCGGGCGCGCCTGCTTGGGTCCCTGTTCCATACCCATTTTCTTGCGGCCGCGCCTCTCCCTTGATGCGACCGCGCCTTCCCGGGTTTCTTTGGACGATCTAACTAACTCTTATTTTGTATCTTTCCTATATATAGTTTTTCATTCTATTTTTAGAGAGAGAATCATTAGAGGATAATTAGAATTCAATTAGAGATATTTTAGAGAGAGAAATTCTAGGTTTTTAGTGAGAGAATTTCGTGGTGGATGGTTGATTATTGAAGATTTCTACATTTTCTTTGATCTTTGATCAAGTTTGTAAGGATTCCTTTTCTTTAATTCAATCTATAGTTTGATCTTTAATTTGATTTCATTTGTTTTGTTGATTGTTCTAGTTTGATTGAAATTTGATTGATTTGTGATTGATTTTAGCTTGTTTGATATGATCATGATGAATTTGTTGCTTAGTGCTATTTTGATCTTAATTTCAATTTCTAGTGAGTAGATTTCTTGATAGTGTAATGGTGAAGCATGTATGAGTAATGGATTAATGCTAATTGGGGAAAATTGATGGAGTTGATGATGTGATTAAATTTGGTTGATGATCATGTGCATGTGTGTGATTAATTAAAGAGTAGCTAACTTTGATTGTTGCACTAGATTGCATTGTAAGTTCACATTGATACGAACAATTGATTTGTGGCTTGCATTTAACGATTGAGGTGTCTTGTGACGTTCCTAGCTAGAGTTTATCGTAGTTGACGTTAGTTAGACCTCTAAGAAAATAGCTTGATATGCTCTTTTGGTTGCATGATTGGTTTTCCCTCTCATCGTTCGACTTAGTCACTTTGACCTCCCAATTAATTGAATCCGTTACGATTTCATGTGGATCCTAGCCCTAGTGTTTTATATACTTGATTTAAACTTGTTTGTTTAGTCATCCTTGTCCTAGCATTCACACCCTACCATTCTATTTCGGAATAGCTTGACCATTGACAATAGATAATTGCCCTCCATTCTTTAGTGGTTCGACCCTCAACTTTCCATTATACTTGTGTAAGGGTGTGTTGAGAGATTATAAATTATGTTTAACCTAGGGTAGAATTAGTTTCAACAACCTAGTTCCAACCCCTCGTCAAAATGGCGCCGTTGCCGGCGAATGGTGTTGTGATTGTGTATTGTTGTTGAGTCTATTCCATCTTATTCAAAAACACAAAAGATTTTTCTTCTTTCTTTTAGGCTACACTTGTAGCTGCATTACTAACAATTTTCTTTGAGTTTTTTCATGCATAGTAGAACTCGTGATAGGTCCTTAGTTCCTTTGGATCCGGAAATTGAAAGAGCTATTTCACGAAAAAGGATAGCCAATTGATCTTTGAGCCTAAGTTCCTCAAGTGAAGAAGAGTTTGAGGAAGAAGAAGAGCAAGGCATGGGAGAGAATCCAAGAGTAGCTTTGAAGGAGTTGGGAATTCCCGGTGCTTATAGGTTTGAGAGCGGTATTGCTCCACCTACAACCCCGGCGAACGATTTTGAAATAAGACCGGTCATGATTACTTTGATAGAACAGAGGCAATTTAGTGGAGCCAAGAATGAGATCCCATTGAATCACCTAAAGGAATTTAAGAAGTATTGTAATACAATTAAGAGTTCATCCGGCTAAAGTTGTTTCCCTTTTCTCTTAATGGTCGTGCCTTAGAGTGGTTAGATAAGGAGGTTAAGCCGTATTCCCTTAAGACGTGGGATGAAGTCACAAAAGCTTTCTTGTCTCGCTTTTACCCACAAAAGAAGACGACAGAGGCTAGGGCTATGATCCAAGGATTCAAACAAAGGCCTAATGAGAATCTCTATGAAGCATGGGAGAGGTATAAGGAGTACCAAATAGAATGCCCACATCATGGAATTCCTACGTATCAAGTGATTCAAATTTTCAATGGGGGCTTAAGTACCCAAGGCAATTCATGCCTTGATGGGGGAGCCGGAGGTCCTATAATGAATAGGACGAAAGAAGAGGTAGTTGACATCATTGAGGATGTGGTGAGATACTATAGAGATTGGCAAGAAGAAGAGAGGGAGTCTACGAGCAAGAGTGGCTCGACGGTTTATTCGGTGGACCACCTCAACGCAATTAACAATTTGTCCTCCAAAATTTCAAATCTAGGGAAGGAAATGACATAGATCAAAGCAAAGCTTGAGAGTGCTTCTACGAATTCATTGAGTCTTCCCTCCCAATCCAAAGGGAGAGTTACATTTTCTAACTCTACTCCTTCTACTTCCAATAACGTGCCAAGTGGTTGTCTATTTTGTGATGCTTGTGAATCTTATGATCATGATTCTTCCATGTGTTCTCAAACTTTTGTTGATGGATGTGATGATGTTGAAAATAATGAATGTGAACATGTGAACTTTGTGTCTAATGCCAATGTTGGTCAAAGGTTTGATGGACCTAGGAATTTTGGCAATAGGAATTCTCACCCCATAGGTGGTTTCGATAACTACAACAATGGAGGCTATAGGAACCAAGGAAACCAAGGTTTCTGAGGTAACTAAAACAACCAAGGTTATAGTAATCAAAACCCAAGCCATGGGTATGGAAACCAAAGTCAATCTCAAGGCTTTGGTAGCCATTACCATAATGGTGGTAATAGTCAAGGCCGAGGCAATTGGAACAACAACAAAAATCGGGGAAGTTTTGAAAATAACAACCAAAGGGGACCCCCACCCGGTTTTGCTCCAAAGCCTCAAGCCAATGGTGAAAATTCTTATTCCTAACCATCATCGTTTAAGACAAATTTGGAAGAAATGATTGATAACCAAACCAAGATCATAAACACCTATATGACGGTGAGTGACAAGAAATTTAATGAGATGATGACTCATAACAAAATGCTTGAGACACAAACCGAACAAGCCAACACTTTAAAGGATTGTGCTAGCCCATCCTCTTTGCCTTCTCAAGGAGTGGAACCTAAGAAACCCGTATATTCCATCACCACTAGGAGTGGGAGAGTTCTTGATGAGGGAGTTTCAAGGTCCATTGAGGAGGATAAGGTGATGAGTGATTTGAGAGAGGAGAATGAGAAGGGTGTGTCTAAGAGTGTGAGTTATGAGGAAGTGCAAGAGAAAAAGAAGAATGTTGAAAAAGAGCATGAGGAAGTGAGGATACCTGATCTACCATACCCACAAAAATTCTTGAGGCATAAAATGGATGAGCAATTTAAGAAGTTTCTTGACATGCTCAAGGAAGTCCACCTTTCTATTCCCTTCACCGATGCAATTACCCAAATGCCTAGGTACTCTAAGTTCCTTAAGGAGATTTTGGATGGGGAGAGAGAGTGCAACGAGGTTGACTCGGTTGAAGTTGGGAAGTGTTTTAGTGCCCTCATTCATAAGGAGTTGCCCGAAAAGATGGAGGATCCGGGTAATATCTCTATTCCATGTAAGATCAAGGAAATGATGTTTGATAATGCTCTTTGTGATCTTGGTGCTAGTGTTAGTATCACGCCTTATTCCATTTTCAAGAAACTCAAGCTAGGTAAGCTCCTTCAATCCAATATAACCCTTCAATTGGCCGATCGATCTATTAAGTTTCCAAAGGGGAGAGTTGAGGATGTTCCTCTTAAGATAGGAGAGCTCACTATTCCCGTTGATTTCATTGTGCTTGAGATTGCGGAAGATGACCATATCCCTATAATTTTAGGAAGACCTTTCTTAGCCACTTCGGGAGCCTTAATAGATGTGAAAGGAGGCCGTATTACCTTGAGAGTTGGTAAGAAAGAGGAAAGTTTTGAGTTGAAACCAATGCATGAGTCTTTGTCTCTTGTGCAAGGAATTATGTGTGTTAGTGCCCCTCTCTCTATTGATAATGTATATGATTGATTCTTCAATTAACGATGTTCTTGAGAATTGTAATGATGTTCTTTCAAGTTTTGATAACAAGAAGGTTAGTGAAGAGAAAATTATGATTCCCAAGCTTATGGACGAGGATGAAGTTGACATTCCTCATTGGTTTGAACTCTATCCTTAAGATGAAGGTGATGTTTCTATGAGTATGGATGGTGAGGAACCATCCACACTGAACAACAAAACAAATAAAAAAGCTCATGATTCTAAGAAGTCTCAGAAAGAGAAAGAAGTTATGGAAAGAAAAGTTTGCATTTGAAAAGTCTTTGAATGAAGTTTCATCAAGCAACAACGAGAGGTTGCTTGAAGTTGAGGAAAAATTTGCTCTTTCCGCTACCTTGAAGAAGGTGGTGTTCTTTGACCCTCCATGCTTTGGAGGAAGGGTCGAGCTTAGGACCATAAGCAAGCTCTTATCGGGAGGCAACCCAGAGATTTCTAATTTTTCTTTTTGATTATGAATTTTTTTCTTATTTTTCCTTCTTTTAGTTCTTTTCTTTCACTTTTCTACTTGTTTAATTTGGATTTGTAGGTTGCTTTCTTGGGATTGGATTTCATCAAGTGAGCATGAGCAATGAGAAGGTGTTTTGCGATTTTTGATGTGATTATATTCGATATCATCGAAATTTGAGGTAAAAGGGTAAGAATTTTAGTGAGGTAAGATAGGGAATTTTGTGCTTTAAAGTTGAAGGAAGTTTGCACTTGGTGGGTTCATGTGGTGCTACTATTAATTTGGGATTTTGAACCCACTAAAATCTTGATTTGAATCTTCCAATTTCAGTGGTTCAGTAGCCCAAATGTTGATCTTGATCGATAATCCCACCGATGAACGCACCAAGAAGTAAAAAAAAGGAAGGAATCGGGCTAGCAGAGGTGCGGGCGCGAACGTGCCTGGTGCGGCCGTGCCATGGCCTGGTGCAGGCGCAACCCTGGCCGTGCCCCCCCATTTATCTTTTCCTTCTTCCTTTCTTCTTTCATTTCCCCTTATTCCTCCTTCATACCTTCGACCCCCATCACCCTCAAACCCTCAAAACCGCACCATATACTTCAACAACTCATCAAATTTCAACCCAAATCACTTAAATTTTCACTCCAAATTCACTAAAACCTTCTACATTTTCATCTAATTCATCAAATTCATACTATTTTCACCAAATTAAACCTCCAATCTCTCTCCTCCATACTTGGGTATAATTTGGGGTTTTTCAATTTGGTGGAAATTGGTGGCTAAAAGTGGTTCAATTTTGCTTCATATATGGTATGATCATCTTCTCTAGCTTTTAATTGCTTAATTATGTCATATATTTGCAAGTTTTGATTTATTCATGAGCATGAATAATAGTAGTTTCAACTTTGATGATTTTGATGATTGATATTGGTTTTAGGATGATTATTTGAGTTGTTTGTTGTTTGATTTCACCTTACATTGTGTTGTTTGTTGATTTTGTAGCATTTGTGAGCAAATTTGTTGAGAAATTTGGAATTAGAATTTTGGTAGTTTGGGTAGTAAGGTGATATTGTGGTATTGTTGGTTCTTCTTGTGTTTGGTGTTGTTTGGTAATTTGGATTGGAATTGTGATTGGTGAACATTGAAGTTCTTGGTTTGTGATTTTGCGGATTGTTGTTGGGAATTTTGTGTTTGGTTTTTGTGATCCTTACACTCGAAGTTCATCATGTCGAAAGTCCTCAAAAACCTAGTCAAGAAACGCAAAACAAACACTTCCATTGATGAACCTACCCCAAACACATCCACCTCCCAAACACGCAAACCTACTCCACCACCCAAAAGAAAAATCCACGATCAAATCCAAAAGAACCGATATTACCAATTAAAGGAACACCGCTCCCTCAAGCAAATGATTATACCATATATGAAGCAAGATTGAGCCCATTTAAGCCACCAATTTCAAGCAAATTCAAAAACCCCAAATTTTACCCAAACATGGAGGAGAGAGATTAAGGGTTTAATTTGGTGAAATAGTATGTTTTTTATGATTTAGATGAAAATGTAGATGATTTTGATGAATTTGGAGTGAAGATTTGTGGAAAATTGATGAAAATTGACGATGAAGAGGAGGGTTTGAGGGCGGTTATGGGGGATGAGGGTGATGGGGGTCGATGCAAGTAAGAGGAAGTATGGGGAAATGAGGAAAAGAAAGAAGGAAAGAAAAAGGAGGAAGGGGGCTACGGCTGGGCTGGTGCGCCCGCACTAGCATGGTGCGCGGCCGCACTAGGTGCGTGCGCGCCCACACCTGGCAGCCACCTCTTCTTCTTCTCTTTTTTTTTTTTTAATTTTCTAAGTTCTTGGTGCGTTCTATGGTGGGTACATGAATTATGATGGTGATAAACACCAACATAGGCAGTAGCAAAATCCAATTTTAGTGAGTTCAAAGCTAGAAATTCTTGAACCCACCATAAGAACCCACCAAGCACAAACTTCCTTCAACTTTAAGCATAAAATCCCTAACTTACCTCACTAAAATTCTTTCCCCGTTTACCTCAAATTTCGATAAAATCGAACATAATCATATCAAATACCGCAAAACACCTTCTCATTCTTCATGCTCACTTGGTGAAATCCAATCCGAAAATGCGTCCTACAAATCCAATCAAGTAGAAAAGTAAGAGAAAAGAAAAGGAAATAAAAGAGGGAAAAATAAGAAAAATTCAAAATTAAAAAGAAAAGTTAGAAACTCCGGGTTGCCTCCCGGGAAGCGCATGCTTAAGGTCCTAAGCTCGACACTTTCTCCAAATCACGGAGGGTCAAAGAACACCACCTTCTTCAAGGTAGCGGAAAAAGCAAAATCCTCTTTAATCTTTAGCAACCTTTCATTGTTTCTTGGCGAAACTTCCTTCAAAGACTTCTCAATTGCAAATTTTTCTTATCTTAACTTCTTTCTCTTTCTCAACTTCTTGAAATCACGAGCCTTCTTCTTTGGCTTGTTGCTCAATGTAGATGGATCCTCAACATCCATAATCATAGAAACATCCCCTTCATCTTGAGGAAAGAGCTTAAACCAACTTGGAATCTCAACTTCCTCCTCGTCTACAAGCTTGGGAATCATCATTTTATCTTCACTAACCTTCATGCTATCAAAACTTGAAAGAACATCATTAAAATTCTCAAGAACATCGTTAGTTGAAGAGTCAATCATACACACATTATCAATAGAACGAGGGGAATTAGCACACACAATTCCTTGCACAAGAGACAAAGACTCATGCATTGGTTTCAACTTAAAGCTTTCCTCCTTCTTACCAACTCTCAAGGTAATATGGCCTCCTTTCACATCTATCAAAGCTCCCGAAGTGGCTAAGAAAGGTCTTCCTAGAATGATATGAATATGTTCATCTTCCTCAATTTCTAGCACAATGAAATCAACGGGAATAGTGAACTCTCCTATCTTGAAAGGAACATCCTCAACTATCCCCTTAGGAAACTTAATAGATCGATCGGCCAATTGAAGGGTTATATTGGATGGAAGAAGCTCACCTAGCTTGAGTTTCTTGAAGACCGAATAAGGCATGATACTTACACTAGCACCAAGATCGCAAATAGCATTTTCAAACATCATTTCTTTGATTTTGCATGGAACAAAGAAATTCCCCGGATCTTCCATATTTTTGGGCAACTCCCTATGAATGAGGGCACTAAACACTTTCCAACTTCAACCGAGTCAACCTCATTGCACTCTCTCTTCCCATCTAGAATCTCCTTGAGGAACTTAGAGTACCTAGGCATTTGGGGGATAGCATCGGTAAAGGGAATAGAAAAATGAACTTCCTTGAGCATCTCAAGAAACTTACCAAATTGCTCATCCATTTTGTGCCTCAAGAACTTTTGTGGATATGGTAGATTGGGTATCCTCACTTCCTCACGCTCTTTCTCATCATCCTTGTTTTTCTCTTGCTCATCCTCACAACTAACACTTTTGGACACACCCTTCTCATCTTTCTCTCTCAAAACTCTCCTCTCCTCATCCTCCTCAATGAACCTAGAAACACCCTCATTAAGAACTCTCCCACTCCTAGTGGTGACGAAATACACGGGTTTCTTGGGTTCCACTCCTTGAGAAGGCAAAGAGTAAGGACTAGCATAATCCTTAAGAGTGTTTGCAAGTTGGGTTATTTGTGTCTCAAGCATTTTGTTATGAGTCATCATCTCATTAAATTTCTTGTCACCCACCGCCATATAGGTGTTAATGATCTTGGTTTGATTATCAATCAACTATTCCAAATTTGACTTAAATGATGATGGTTGGGAATAAGAATTTTCACCATTGGCTTGGGGCTTTGGAGCAAAATCGGGAGGGGGTCCCCTTTGGTTGTTGTTTTGAAAATTTCCCCGACTTTGGTTATTGTTCCCATTCCCTCGGCCTTGACTATTGCCACCATTATGGTAATGGTTACCAAAGCCTTGAGATTGACCTTGATTTCCATACCCATGGCTTGAGTTTTGATTACTATAACCTTGGTTGTTATAGTTCCCTCGGAAACCTTGGTTTCCTTGGTTCCTATAGCCTTCATTGTTATAACTATCGAAACCACCTTGAGGGTGAGAATTCCTATTGCCAAAATTCTTAGGTCCATCAAACCTTTGACCACCATTAGCATTAGACACAAAGTTCACATGTTCACATTCATTGTTTTCAACATCATCACATCCATCAACAAAAGCTTGTGAACACATGGAAGAATCATGATCATAAGATCCACAAGAATCACAAAATAGACATCCACTTGGCATCTTATTGGAAGTAGAAGGAGAAGAGTTAGAAATTGTACCTCTCCTTTGGGTTGGGAGGGAAGACTCAAAGAATTCGAAGAAACACTCTCAAGCTTCGCTTTGATCGATGTCATCTCTTTCCCTAGATTTGAAATTTGGGATGACAAGTTGTTAATTGCGTTGAGATGATCCACGGAATAAACCGTTGAGCCACTCTTACTTGTAGACTCTCTCTCTCTCCTTCTTGCCAATCTCGATAGTATGTCACAACATCCTCAATTATGTCAACTACCTCTTCTTCCGTCCTATTCATTATAGGACCACCGGCTCCTCCATCTAGGCATGACTTGCCTTGAGCACTCAAACCTCCATAGAAAATTTGTATCACTTGATAGGTAGGAATCCCATGATGTGGACACTCTCTTTGGTACTCCTTGTATCTCTCTCATGCTTCATAGAGATTCTCATTAGGTCTTTTCTTGAATCCTTGGATCAATGCCCTAGACTCCGCCGTCTTCTTTTGAGGGTAAAAGCGAGACAAGAAAGCTCTAGTGACATCATCCCATGTTCTAAGAGAATTTGGCTTAACCTCTTTATCCAACCACTCCAAAGCACAACCAATAAGAGAAAAGGGAAAAAACTTTAGCCGAATGAACTCTTTAGAAATGTCGTTCACCTTAATGGTATTATAATACTTCTCTAATTCCTTTAGGTGATTAAACGGGCTCTCACTCTTGGCTCCACTAAATTGTCTCCCTTCTATCAAAGTGATCATGGCCGGTCTTATCTCAAAATCGTTCGCCGGTGTTGTAGGTGGAGCAATGCCACTCTCAAACCTATAAGCATCGGGAATTCCCAACTCCTCCAAAGCTACTCTTGGAATCTCTCCCATGCCTTTCTCTTGCTCTTCTTCCTCAAACTCTTCTTCACTTGAGGAACTTAGGCTCAAAGATCGATTGGCTATCCTTCTTCGTGAAAGAGTTCTTTCAATTTTCGGATCCAAAGGAACTAAGGGCCTATCTCGAGTCCTACTATGCATGCAAAACCTCAAAAGAAATTGTTAGTAACACGGCTACAAGTGTAGCCTAAAAGAAAGAAATAAAATCTTTTTGTCTTTTTGATATATATGGAATACACTCAACAACTATACACAATCACGACACCAGTCCCCAGCAATGGCGCTATTTTGACGAGGGTCGAAGCTAGATCGTTGGGGCTAACCCCTTCCCAAGGTCAAACAAAATTTATAAACACTTAACCAACCCTATACTAGTATATGGTAAGTCAAGGGTCGAACCCAAAGGAATGGTGGGCTATTGTCTATCGTCTATAGTCAAGCTATTCCGAAGTCTATAGGTAGGGTTGTGAACTCTAAACTAGGACAAACACGACAAATAAACTTGAAGAAATCAAATGTAATAAGCACTAGGGATAGGATCCACATGCATTCATAATGGAATTGACTAATTAGGAGGTCAAATTGGCTAAGTCAAACTATGTGAGGGAAGACCAATCATGCAACCAATAGAGCATATCAAGCTATTATCCTAGAGGTCTAACTAGCGTCAACTACGATAAACTCTAGCTAGGAAACATCACAAGACACCTCAATCGTGTAAATGCAAGCCACAAATCAATGGTCCGTATCAATGTGAACTTACAATGCAATCTAGTGCAACAAGCAAAGTTGGTCAATCTTTAATCAATCACACACATGCACATGATCATCAACCAAATTTAATCACACTATCAAATCCATCAATTATCCCCAATTAGCACTAATCCATTACTCATACATGCTTCACCATTGCCCTAGCAAGTAATCTACTCACAAATCATGGTATTTAAGATCAAAACAAAACTAATAAACACACTCATCATGATCATATTAAGCAATCTAAAATCAATACAAAAATCAATCAAACTTCAATCAAATATCAATCAAACTAAAACAATTAACCAAGCATATGAAAAGAAATGAAATCAACTAAAACCAAACTATAGATTGAATCAAAGAAGAGTAATCCTTACAATACTTGATCAAAGATCAAATGGAAATGAAGAAATCTTGAATCATCAACAATTAACCATGAATTTCTCTCTCTAAAATCTAGAGTTTCTCTCTCTAAAATATGATCTCAAAAGTTCTCTAATTACTTCTCAATTGATTCTCTCTCTAAAAATAGAAGGAAATACTATATATAGGATAAATACAAAAGAAGAGTTGGTTAGATCGTCCAAAAAGAGACCCCGGGAGGTGCGGACGCACAAAAAAGGGTACGGAAACAGGGATCAAGGCAGGTGCGGCCGCACATAGCTGATGTGCGGCCGCACCAACCAGGTGCGCGGCCGCACCCTGCTCGTGCGTGCCCGCACCTGGAAGCAGCACTCATCTCCCCTTCTTCGTCCTAGCTCAACCTCGTGCGCTCGTCTTGGTGATGATGATGAACACTAAGGTAGGCAGTCTTGAAATGGATATTTTGGTGGGTTTGTGGCAAAGATGATGCCCCCACCGCATACGTGCACCGATCTCTTGACTTGCTCCTTGCGTTCCTTCAAACTTGAAGCTCCAAAAGGCGAACACGAGGCATCCAATTTGATGAGAAATGTAAGAGGAAGGCTCAGGAATCTTTGGAAACACGATCATAACCTTAAAACAAACGAAAACAAACAAATAAAAGGGAAAAAGAACAAATAAACAAAGAAATGCACAAAACAAGGAAACTAACTACGAAAAGCACAAACTAACGAAATAAAGAACAAAACTAAGAAAAATTAAGCAAAAGAGCTATAAAATAGAATGAAAATCATCCTAAAAGAGATCAATTGAGTGCCATAAATAACACTCATCATCTAGCATATCCATTGTTCTAATTCATGGCCCTCTAGATCATTTCCTCTACTTGCCTAAGCAAGGGTTCTTGTCCTATTTGTGGAGGTTAACCTTGCATTGGTCCATTAAGTTGAGCCGATGTATCTTGCATATTAAAAGAACTATGTTGGTTTTCTTGAGGATTGTGGAAACCCTTATATCCAGCACCTATTCCACCTAAGCTATTAGGATTAGGTTGAGCCATAGCTGGATATCTTTCTCCATACGAGCCCCTAGCCTGATCCTGATTCCACGAAACATTGTGTACGGTGGATAGAATTTGAATATTCATATGGGTATTGGCTATAATTCCTAGGAAAATATGTTAATTACTACCTCATAAAAGGTTCTTTGTGAATTACTACCCTAGAAAAGTTATTAATTACTACCCCTAAAACTGATTAATTCTAGTGATTGCTACCCTTTCCTAATCAGGCGATTTAATTAGTTGCTTTGTAACCTTAATTAATTAATTAAACTATAGAACCATCTCCAGGTCACCATTGCACCACCTCCGGCCACCCTCCAACCACTACCGAACCTACCTCCTCTAACTCCCCACCATGAAAACACCCCTTTCTTGGTCCCAACCCTAAAACCACCATCTACCCATCCTTAAACCACCTCCCTTTCACGATATCCACCCTCCCATTCACGGCGGCCCTTACCCCCTAGCCTTCGCCGAAAAACCTTTCTCGGCCTTCCCTAATCTGCCTCCACCCCCTTTCCCCCTAATCACCACCCTAAATCCCTAGAAAAGAAAACCCTAGGGTTTCAATTTTAGGACTCTAGGGTTTTAATTTTGGAACCTTAGGGTGGTGATTAAGGGGGGCCCAGTAGGGTTCTCTGGCAAGGGGGAAGGGGTTAGGGCTGCTAGCAAGTAAGGAGGAGGGATTTTTCGAGGGTAGAAGGGATGGTTGGGGTTTAGAGGTGGTGCAATGGGTGGTTTAGTGGTGGGGTGGATGCTGGGGCAGAGGTAGGCTGCTTAGCAGCTTGTTGGCAAGCGAATGATGGGGTAAGGGGGCTGTCGGAGATGGTAGGGATGGGGTAAGAGGGTTGTCGGAGGTGGTGTAGTGGTGGTTTGGAGGTGGTATTAGGGTTTATTTAATTAATCATGGCTTAAAAACAACTGATTAATTAATTAATTTATTAAAAGCCTAAATGATGTGTGGCTTGTGGAGGTTTAGGACACTTTGAGAATTATTGTCATATTAAGAAGATGAAGAAAGTTTGGAGACCTAAGGTGGTGCAAGGGGTATCTAAGGAGGTTCCAGAGTTGGAGAAGACTTCAGAAAATGTCTTAAAAACTAGGGATCCTATTTTTGTTACTACAGGCAGTAAATAAGTGAGTCCTATTAGGCAGCCTGATTAGAATGGGGGGGTGGAAGTTAGGAATGCTTTTGAATCCCTTGCTAATGATGATGCTTTGGTCATGTTTGAGATGTTCCTATTGTTAAGGAATCTTTAAGTGATGATGCTGCTCCTAAAAAGGGGTATGTATAAAGCTATGGTGTGGAATATTAGGGGCTTAAATAGCCCTAATAAGCAAATGAGATCAAGAATTATTTGCTTCAAAATAATATTGGCTTATGTTTCCTATGGGAGACTAAAGTGAGTGCCAAGAATTTTCCTGCTGTTTATCAGAGAATGTTGTCTGGTTGGTGTGTGACTACAAATTTATTCAAGTTAAGGGTGGTAATTTTGGTTGCTTGGTTGCAAGATTTATTCAGTGTGAATATTGTGTTTGCTGGGCCTCAGATCATTCATACAAAGGTTATCAATAAGACCTTGCAAAAGGGATTTGACTGTTCTTTTTTGTATGGTTCAAATGATGCTGATGTTAGAAAGGAACTTTGGAATCAATTAGGGTATTTTGCTAGTATATGTACTGATCCATGGATTGTCACTGGAGATTTCAGCTGTCCTCTAAATGCTGATGATAGAATAGGAAGACAAATAAGTTTTGGAGAGATGAGACCTTTTAAGGATTCTGTGGAATCTTGTGGCTTGCAAGATATGATTCAAGTGAGTGCCAAGTTCACCTGGACAAACAAGCATCAGGGAGATGCTAGAGTTTATAGTAAGATAGACAGGACTTTGATAAACTCTAAGTGGTTTACAGATTTTCCTGGGTCTTATGTTCATTATA